CCCCCCCCCAGGTGGACAACTCGTCCCTGACGGGGGAGTCGGAGCCGCAGACGCGCTCCCCCGACTGCACCCACGACAACCCCCTGGAGACCCGGAACATCACCTTCTTCTCCACCAACTGCGTCGAGGGTGAGACCCCAAAACACACCCCCAAAACACCCCTAAATCCCCCAAACCCGGGGGGGCTCCTGGAGGAGGTTTGGGGGTCCCCGAGGGGATTTTGGAGGTCCCAAAGCGGCCCCTTGTTCTTCCTCAGCCAGGTTCAAGGGGGGCCCCAAAATCGGGGAGGGGTCTCTGGAGTTGATGGGGGGTCCCCCAAATCCGGGAGGGGAGGAGGGAGGTATTTGAGCCCTTCTTGGGGTCCTGGAGATGGTTTTGGGGCTGTTTTGGGGCCGTTTTTGATTCCCACTCCATTTTCCGATTCCCACCCAATTTTCCCGATTCCTGCCCAATTTTTGGCGTCTCTGATCCATTTTTGGGGTCTCTGATCCATTTTTGGTGGTCCCTGCTCCACTTCTGGCATCCCAGAACCACCTCAGAGTCACTTTTGGGGCCGTTTTGTGACCATTTCGGGGTCATTTTCGACTCCTGCTCCCATTTTTTGGTCTGCATTCAGTTTTTCCTATTCCCACCCCATTTTTGGGGTCCCTCATCCGTTTTTGGGGGTCCCTCATCCATTTTTGACATCCCTTATTAATTTTGGGATCCCTGATCTGTTTCTGTCATCCCAGAACCACCTCAGAGCCACTTTTGGGACCATTTTGTGACCGTTTCAGGGCCATTTTCGATTCCCATCCCATTTTCCAATTCCCGCTTCATTTTCGGGATCCCTTATCCATTTTTTGGCATCCCCAATCCATTTTTTGGGGTCCCTGATCCATTTTTGACATCTTTTATCCACTTTTTGGGCTGTCTGATCCGTTTCTGGCATCCCAGAACCACTTCAGAGCCAGTTTAGGGTCATTTTGGGGTTGCTTTGAGGCCGTTTTGGGGCCGTTTTCGCTTCCCGCTTCCGTTTTTTCCATATTTTTGGGATTTCTGACCCATTTTTGGTGCCCCCCCAGGCACGGTGCGGGGCGTGGTGATCACCACGGGGGACCGGACGGTGATGGGGGTCATCTGGGGGTCCTAGGGCCAGTTTTAGGGTTATTTTGGGACCATTTTTGATTCCCACCCCATTTTTCAATTCCCACCCAGTTTTCCCAATTCCCACCCCATTTTTGGGGTCCCCAATCAATTTTTTGGGGGTGTCTGATCCATTTCTGGCATCCCAGAACCACCTCAGAATCACTTTTGGGGCCATTTTGGGACCATTTCAGGGTCATTTTTGACTCCTGCCCCCGTTTTTTGATTCCCACCCAGTTTTCCCAATTCCCGCCCAATTTTCAGGGTCCTTCATCCATTTTTTGTGATCCTTCATCCATTTTTAGGGGTTCCTGCTCCACTTCTGGCATCTCAGAACCACTTCAGAGCCAGTTTTAGGGTCATTTCGGGGCCGTTTCGGGGCCGTTTCCAACTCCCACCGCATTTTTTTTGATTCCCACCCAATTTTCGCCGCTCCCACCCCAATTTTGGTGTTTTTCACCCCATTTTCTGTGCCCCCCCAGGCACGGCGCGGGGCGTGGTGATCGCCACGGGTGACCGGACGGTGATGGGCCGCATCGCCACGTTGGCCTCGGGGCTGGAGGTTGGGAAGACGCCGATCGCGGTGGAGATCGAGCACTTCATCCAACTCATCACCGGCGTCGCCGTCTTCCTCGGCATCTCCTTCTTCATCCTCTCCCTCATCCTCGGCTACACCTGGCTCGAGGCCGTCATCTTCCTCATCGGCATCATCGTGGCCAACGTGCCCGAGGGGCTGCTGGCCACCGTCACCGTGAGCAATGGGGGGGACTGGGAGGGACTGGGAGGGACTGGGAGGCAATGGGAGGGACTGGGAGGGTTGCACCATCATCTTCCTCATCGGCATCATCGTGGCCAATGTGCCCGAGGGGCTGCTGGCCACCATCACGGTGAGAACTGGGAGGGACTGGGAGGGACTGGGGAGCACTGGGAGGGACTGGGAGGGACTGGGAGGGTTCCACTATCATCTTCCTCATCGGCATCATCGTGGCCAACGTGCCCGAGGGGCTGCTGGCCACCATCACGGTGAGCAATGGGGGGGACTGGGAGGGACTGGGAGGGCATTTGGGGAAGTTTGGGGGGGCTACACCATCGTCTTCCTCATTTTGGGGGGTTCCACCCTCCTCTTCCTCCTCGGCGTCATCGTGGCCAACAATTCCCAGGGGGGTCCCTGCACCGAGGGCTCATTAAAGGCATTTTAGGGGCGATTTTGGGGGTCCCAACCCCCCAAATTTGGGGTCCCCACCCCCAAACCGGGGGTCCCGCAGCCCCCAGACCCCTTTTTCTGGCCCCCCAGGTGTG